ATGAACTGTAGTACATACCAGAATATTTAGGAAGCTCATTCACATTTTTAACACAGAACTCCTGACATCCTACTTCAACACAATATTAAAGTCAGATCAAAAAGCAAAATAAAACTTAGATCTCTATGAAACTGGATTTTTCTGGTTAGCTACTGTCCACTGCTCACCAGGTTTTGCTTTCAGTGTGAACGCTGCTCTTTGATTAACACTTTCCCACCGGGTTTTGGTGCAGAGCAAAGCCAAAGAACTGACTGCACCTCAAAGAGTTAACCACAGCTCCACTGTCCTCCCCTCTCTTCCCAAGGCTCCCGTCTGCAAAGGTTTGAATAACTGCTGCAATCAGGACATTAATTTAGGTCACTTCAAACGAAAATTACCATTCAGCTTGGGTTTTTTTATCACACATTTGCGCGCATCTGGGTAATGGAACAATTTTTCTTCAGGCTACGCTAAAAATTGGTGAAAAAGGACGCAGCAAAACTTCCACTTACATCAGGTGGTGATGGGGCCCTTTGCTGACAAATTTTACCAGACAGTAAGAACTGCTCTGATACCAGAACATCAGGTGCCAGCTCAGCCTTGCAGGAACAGGCAGATGTAATGAAACAATATGGCATTACACAAGTAAGCACACACTAAATTGTTCAAAGAAGCCGTGCTTCCTGCCTTGTCTTCAAGAACTACAAATTTGCTTGTCAGGTATTACAGATAGTATTTGGAAATCCCTTTTTCCTCCACTGCTATCTGCCAGAAAGCGATGATGCCAAGAGTCAGATAAAGAAAACATCTTAGTACCTGGACTCGAAGAATTTGTAAGTGAAGGAGAAAGCTGGTGGCTGGTAAGTAGTTTCTCTTCCTTTCACCTTTCTGCAACACACATTGGGTTTCAGGCTGTGGCCCTTAGGTTCAGGGGGAACTCAGGCTACCTGCAAGGCATCAGTGAAGGCAAACCTGTTTTCAGCAGGTTGTTACTCACTACATAAGGATCCATATGAGCGATAGAGAAGACGTATGGATCTATTAATCAAAAAAGGCTGAAAAATCCCTATAAAACAACATACCCATAGTGACTGAAGTATCACTGGAAGAGCACTGGGCAGCCTTGGGGACTTAATCTAGACTGTATGTCCCAAAAACATGCCTTGTTGCCTGTATCTTCCTTAAAAGCATATCTAGCTCTGACTGCTTACACTTGTAAGGTTAACGACATTTAAATACTTCACATTGTTTCAGAAGTCACCTCAGTAAGGCATTAAAATCTGAAAGTAACAACAAAATGTTATTGCAAAACTATGGCATTTTAGCAGGATTTTTCAACTGGATGGGACTACCCACAATCCCAGATGTTCTCCCAAACTTCCCTGCAGAGCTGGAAAGCCCCAATCAATTCTCCTCAAACTATTCAAGCCAAGGTTTCAGGGGTATTTTCAGCATTTTAAGTAGAGAAGGCTGATGCATTGTGAAAGGCATTGGAAATCAAGACTCTGTAAAGAAATTAAAGCCCAGAGCCATAGAAGGATGCAAGTGCCTAAATACCATCTTGCTGCTACTGTAGGCATTTAGCTAAATCCTCAAAACTCTCCTCATGCCCAGGGGCACCCAAACATCCCTGG